TCAGTTTCCTCAGCTGTAAAATAGTGATAACAGTACCTACCTCATGCAGCTGTGGAGGAGTCTATAGTTAAGCTCATGTAAAGTATTAGGAACGGCCTGACCCAAGTTTAGCACCTCACATCCCTTGACTGTTAGTATCACATTAGGTATGAGTGTTTGTTTGCATGGTCAGGCTGAGGGCGCCAAGGAGCAAGGAGCCAGGCGTGGTGGCGAAAGCGGAGGGACAGGCAGGGAAGGCTTCCCAGAAGCTATGGCACTCAAGCTGGATCTGAGAGCACAAGGAGAATTCAGATGCTCAGAAGACTGCTCATTCCAGATGAGGGGAGCCATTACTGCAGAAAGTCACAGATAGGGGTAAAAACCAGGTGTGCTTAAACATCAGCAGGGAAAATAAGCTCACCAAGGCTGAGGGTATATTTGGTAACCTCAGATTAATGGGCAGGGGAGGGGGGGTGCTCAGGCTCTGTGTGCTTGTTGCTATGCTCCTAGGACTTAACATTTAAATCACTTTTAGATATGTGTACTATGAATGCAAACTCACTCTGAAATGCTCATTTCTCTGTTTTTGGAACAGTGGAAAGGATGCCAGAAAATACAAAGGTAAATGTGTTTTTTTTGCTGTGGAAATAGTCTGCTCAAGTGGAACGTAGGTCACCAAAATCAACTTGCATCTCATCGTCATCTGTCCCTCTTTCAGTGGAGGCAATAAGTGGTAGCCTGAAGGAAGGGGGAGGAGCGGCACTTCAGATCCATCCTTCAATTCCAATCTCTATCAGCCACTCAGCCACTCCAAGCACAACCCTCAACAGAGGTATCCTAGGACAGCCCCAGCCTGCCCCCCCCCCCCGCCCCGCCCATCTACAGAAAAAGCCCTACTTACGAAGTTCTGAAATATTACCTGTGCTAGCAGTTGCCTCTAAACCAAGCTCTCAGGGAAACCGCTATCATCTGATGCGGTAAGCGTTTAAGATATACATTCACTTAAAAGATTCCTTCCATTACCAAGTTAGAAATTATGGTGCCAAAATAAGTGACAGTAGTCCACATTCCTTGTCCAAAGAAGAAAAATCACAAAACAGAAGAATTTTCATTTTGACTGGTGCCCCCTCTAGAGATTCAACTAGTTTGCTAACCTAAGTTGGCAAAGTTGCTTTGTTTCCTGAAATGTAAGGATAGACTTAACACTTGGAAATACCAGGAACATGACACGAAGCCAGGGAGGGCCCCACAGAAGTTACAGGCTCTGTGATTATTTCCTGAGCCAAACACCTAAGGCTCTCAGTGGTACCAAACTTTGTTGGAAAAGCTTGTTTCCCCTGATCCAACAGCTGTAAGTTTTTAAGTAATTTAACAGAAGACCTCAAGATTCTCAAGCCAAAGCCACTCTTTATACTATCCCCCAAATATTTACAAAGTGAAACACTTTCAGTCTTAACTATGTTTTGTTTGTAAACACCTTATTTGTTCTGATGACCACAGTATCAACACTAAAAGCAGCCTTTTAAACAAAGTAGCTCAAATAAAACCACACGCAGACACACAAATTCTTAACACCCAGAGGCATGTCCACAAAGCAAGAAAGCCAGGGTTCAAATTCCTTGGCACCTTTTCACTGAGCTCCTGTAAGCACCACCCAAGGACATGACCCACTGCACCCTCTTTACTATCACACCTTCTCACTAATTCACACTACGGAAAACCCACAGAATGCAACTTACTGCATGATAACTGAATGCTACAAATATTGGACAAATGTCTTTTACCCTGTTCCCCTCTCACATCAGCCAGCCTGAACTTACCCCTGTTTATAGAACAACCCCACCCCAAATGAGAGAGCTATTGCCCACTCTTCTACCCACATGGTGCCTCTGGGGCCACTGGCAGCCTGGCAAAAGTCTCTAGGTATCTTGGCCTTGGTCTCTCTCTCCCTGTTCCCGTCATTTAGCTCCTGGGAAAGTTATCTGGGCCAAGGACAGTACAACAGAGAGAAATCTAGAAATGTCTGGTTTGGGGTAATAAGAATTATATAAAGAATTAATTATAGGGGGAAAAGTCTCTGTGAGTGAATATATTCCAAAAGCAAATAGTTACAATTTGACTATTTCAAACACATGGAAGGCCGTTTATACCTCGTCACATGCTACACAGGAGTTTTGATTTATGCTGAGATGAAACTGCTTGACAGAAAACTAAGAGGAATATTACAACTGATGACAAAACTATCAGTGGAAAGAATATAGATCTTGGATCTCCAATCATGGTTCTACTAGTCAGTAGTGATTCAACAAATATTTATAAAATACCTACCAATGGCCAAACACTGCTTTAAATGCTGGATAGACAGGGATAGACAAGACAAAGACTGCTCTCAAAGACCTTCACGGAGTGGGAAAAACCCACACACATTGGAATTATTATCAGAATTATAGGCAGTCGGAAGTAAGGAGATAACTGAAGGAGATTTCAGTCAGTGCTAACTTCTATGACAAAAATTGTGAGTGAAATTTCTGATCCTGTTTCCTCGTGGGGATGTAACCACCTACTTAAAACAAGATGATGAATGTCAACCGCCTGGCACACAGCAACCCCAAGCATTTACCTGCACACGAATGTATACGCATAGATGCTAGCAGATATACACCTTCCCCCCTTAATTGCAATGTCTGTGATAATCCACTTTGGTATGAAATGAAAGCAGAAGGTAGGCAAAATGTTTGCATAATTCAATTACTCTTAATGCAATTAAATTACAAATAACTGCATTCAACAAGAATCTATAAAAAGTCAAAATCTAAACAATTCTACAATAAAAGGATAAAAAGAAGTCCAGATACTGGGATAATAGTAGAACTAATATTATAAATACTAATACAGCTGCCTTGCCCACTTTGAGGGATTACCATGAAAAGTCGGGCTATTTTGCCATACAAGTAAGGCTCAGAGATATTAGCCCGATATCAGTGTCAGAAGCTGGGCTTAAACTCTCATCTTCAGATTTCTTTGAGAAAAATAAAAGACAATGAACAACTTCTTCTTAGAGTCACAAGATTTTATACCGAAAATCAACTTTAGGAAAACTGCTGTGCCTCTCTTCCCACATCACCAACGACTGAGGTCCCCAGAGGCAGAGGGTTCACCCCAGAATGGGGAACCCAGTAATGACAGAGCGAGAGCAGGACCCAGGCTTCCTAGATCCCAACCCTCTCAAGGATCTGCAACCTCTAGACGGGTCTTTAGATTTCATGAGAACCACAAGGGATAGCCATGACTTCCAGAATTCAATTTCAGTTATTACTTGTCCCTAAAAACTTCCAGTGAATTGCACCTCGGGCAAATTGAGGACCTTTACTGGTGGACAGGGAGCTCTCTTCACACATAACAGAGGAGAACTCCCTCCTGGAGAAAGCTGCCTACAGCACTATAATATACGTTATTAGGAAAATGTATGTTTTCATTTTTTTGAAATGAGAGATCAGCCTGAAAGGAGAGAGATCTTTTGATTGTAATTTTCAGAGTTTGCCTCAGTACAAAGGCTCTTAACAGCTTTTTCTGGGGAGGGAGGTGGAGAGACCAGGTATGGGGACGCGACAGGGAAGGGGGTCCAAAAATTGTGTCCAAGCTATTTACAAGAGAATGGAGAGAGCCCGGGGCTGTGAAACCGGTGACTAGGAGAGAACAGCTGGGCCCAGGGAGAGCATCTAACCACACCTACTCGCCACGCCCTCCCAGCTGCCCGCAGAGCCACACTGAATTGAAACAGCAGTGGGAGCAGTTAAGATTCCGACGGCAGGAGTCGCCATGGCAACGGGATTCATCTTGCAGGCAAACCCCACTACAATTCACTAGGTCCTTCTCGAGCCTCAAGAAACTACCAACTCAAGAGGAGCAAAACGGTCACGGGTGGCATTTACTCTTGATGCTCTTCTGCGGGTGAAGATGGGAGGCGGGGTGGGGAACGGGGGTTGAAGTATATTCTATTCCTGGGTCCCCTAAAATATTTTATGGACGCAAGAGACAGAACACTCCAATCGCAGGCTGCGATTAACTTGAGAACAGAGCCTTTAGCATGGGTTTGATGAACAAGTAAGAGAACGGATAAGAGTGCTAGGGAAAGGAAATCCAGAGGACTTTATAGAGTTCTCGGGCGCCGCGCACGTCTCCAAGCGGATCACAAGCAGTTGGATTTTCACCACCAGCTGGGAAAAGCGATTACCCAGCTCTCCTGCCCCGCTGCGAGTCGTATCGCTAGATTATTCGACACTCCCTACCGCTTTACCACGTCCCAGCCCAGCGCTCCGAGCAGATGCTTTGTCCCAGCTCAGGTGTTCTTTGTCGAGGGAACCATCAGTGCAAGGGGCACCAAGATGCGCCCTACCCAGAGGGACGGGAGGCGGGAGCGCTCTTTGGCGCCTCGAACCCGGTCCGCAGGCTGCGAGGCCGCCCCTCGCTGCTGTCCGCCAACACCCCTCACTCCCTCCGCAAGGCGGCTTTCCCTCCTCTTTCTGGTTTGAGACCTTTAGCTTCCAACTTTGCCTAAATTACAGTCACCCCATCCCTTTCGAATGAGTCTTGAGGTGAGGGTGCCCGGGATGGTGGGGGTTCTGCTGGGACGCGAACGAGTAAACGAGTCCCTCCTCTTCGGTCTACACCTCCGAGTCTACCAAGCCTGCCTCGGGATTGTCCCTCCCGGAGCCTCCCGGACCAGCAGCTCCCGACAGCAGCAGTGCCCTCAGCACTCAGCCAAGGCCACGACCCCCAGCGCCCCAGCCCCGGGGTGTCAGCAGCAAGGCGGCGAGTGGTACCCTGCCGGCTCTCTTGGCATCCGAGCACCTCAGAAAGAAAGAAGGGAGGCACCCCCGTCCTCGGGGGCGCCTTCCCCCGGTCTCGCCTTGCTTTGCACCGCGCTTGCAGCCATTTTCCCAAACCCTGCTTGGCAGCCGGGAACTGTCTAGGTTCTGTTCCCACCCAGACTCAACCTGAAGGACGGGTTTAATATTTACCTACTGGCCCCGGAGCTCCGGGGAGGCAGCGGGAGGGCGCGCCGCTAACCCAGCACCGGGCCCGAAGAAGCACGCCCACCCCCGCGCCACCTCCTGGTGCCACTTAATGAAGGAGTGCGGCGGGCGACGCGGAACGTCCCCCTTACCTGAGCAGCCCCCGCATGCTGAAAAGGCGGCTCTGCACTCCGGGTACAATGGGATCCGGTTAAACAGTTTCCTTCACAGCCGCTCGTAGGTTACCAACTCGCAGGTGACATCACCCTCTCCTCGCCTGATAGGATACAATGCGGCGCTCACTGCGCATGTACTCCCGGGCAGGGCCCGCACACTCCTGGGAGCTGTAGTTCACATTCCACAAGCAGAGCCTGGGTAGCTACGCTACTGAGAGTGTTGAAACTACACTTCCCGACGCATTCCTGGGCCTCTTCGTCCCCGCCCCAGCCCCGCCCCCACCGCGACCCGCCCCCTCCCCGCCCTCCAGCCTTGCAGTGTTAGTGTTGGTCTTTCAAAAACCGAGCTGCGGACTCAGCGGGCGGGCGTGGGGGCAAGCACCCTTCGGTCATGCCCTTTGACTTGACCTCCACTCGGTCCCATGCGGGCTCTGAGGGACCAGAGGGGTCCGGGGCTAGTGTGCACCAGCCAGGCAGCTCTGACCAACCGGGCTCTGCTGGCCCCAGCTGGAAAGAGAAGATGAAGCCTTTCATTGCCTTCCCTACGCGTAGCAACTAATTAATAGGATGCATTGGTTTTATGGGTTAAATACGGTCCTGGAATTCCCCCACGTCCCGGAGGATGAGGGACGCCGACTCCGAAGGAGAGGAATCCCCCTTTGCCCCACTTGGTCCAAATTACCCTTCTGTCTTCTCTTTCCTTCTCCCATTTAATGGAGTCAGGGTGACCAGCCAGAACTCGGAGAATAGCTTAGTCGGCTGAGCTGACCGAATAACGGAGGGTGTCACTAATAAAAATGCAGTGTAACAGACTAGATAGTTGCCTCAACCCTCCGTCCGGGAGCCAGCTGCTGCTGCAGAGATAATACTATCGCGCAGCCATGCTTTTGTTCTTCCCTGCAGCAGACTTCCCGCTCTCATGGCTCTCAACTCCCAGGAAGACAACATCCTTGCCTAAAGTTTTAATAAATGACGTATATGCATACATGTACTTTTAAATCCACAACACCCTCCTCTCAATTTACATACCTCACTCTCACTCAAGTTTTTTAAATGACCTAAACCAAAAAACACTGTGCTGTTCAAGAAGAGCTGTGATAGTAATACACCTAAATGTTTAAAGGTAAGCAAAAGGTGTGTAGCAGAATTCTGAACCTTCAGGAAAATTTTATTTTTAATATGTAAAAATTTTGCGTGGCACTTTTCATTAGTCAATGAGTACCAAATATTATGAAAAATTAACATTGAGAGCAAATCTCTAGGTGTCTTTTTAAACGAAAAAAGAAAAATCAATACATCTAGTTATTCCAGTTGTAAAGGTAGAGTAAATTATAATGGCATTCGAGGTTTTAATCACATATAAGGATCAGTTCACACCCCCATTTCCACTAGCAAAATCTTAGAAGACTACATCTTGTGAAAGGAAAGTTCACAATTAAAATTTCAAACAACTCTCCACCTAATTGCTGGTGACAGTCTTCTTATCACTCTTATTTTCTCACGTGTTTGTGCAACAATAACTTGGGTTCAAGAGAAAAATATTCATGGAACTAGAGGATCTCAGGGGAGAGGGAAATGCTTTGTTTTGCTGAGAGAGGGATTGTAGTACTGAATTCTGCTTTTCTTTTGTCAAACCAATTCCGTATAGCCCAAACATATTTTTCTCTACTGAAGGAAGATAACTTTGAATGTTGCTCTCCTGTTCTGAGCCATTCTGTCCATTCCAAATATTGTCTTAAATGGAACCTAGACAATACAAATGTTCCATTGGCCAACAGATCAAGAGTACAATCAGTGATATTCTAGCTAATGGGTAGTCTTAATGTATTGCAGTTCACTGTGAGAAAATATTCAGAAAGAAACTTGACCTGGGATGATTCTAAAAGCTCTCCCAGTTTTGTAACTGTGTAAAGCTTTTAGATGGAAATATAATCAGTGAGCTCGAAATTTATTGAGTCAAATTGGATGTGGAGATTCTTTATAAGGCAGGACTTAGCCTTACAGATAAAATCATATGACAATATTGAGGTACACTCTGAGGAGTAACCCTATAGGATAAATCACCCTACAGCAAGTTCTCTTGGGTTTTCGGTAATGAAGGAGAGGATGAAACCTGCCTGAAGAAGAAATTCCATTCTCTATAGCAATTAATATTATAGGGATGTGCCATGTTACACAGCTCATTTTTATATGTAAAGGACATCATACACACTAGATTATAAACACAGAAATGTGTGGATGTATGCATGTGAGCTGCCCTTCCTATTAAATAGATACAAATTTAGATAATAAATATTGAAAGCAAGGCATTGTGTTTGGAAGCATTTTGTTATGCGTGATGGATCTGAACTGATCCCTGCACACTATTTCATTGGTAACCAAGGGAAACAAAGATGGCTCTTCAAGCATCAGAAATGCAGTCCATGGACCTGGGACCAGAGGAAACTTAACAACTTCTATGGAGAAACTCTCTGTCTCTCTCTCACACACACACACACACATTCACGTACACTTATTGTGTGTGTTTGTATTTCTTTCTAGGTGACTAAGTAGTCTCATGCGCCACAAAAACACCCATTCTGTCTAGCTTAATTTATGTTCTCAGTCAAAGGATTTTGTTACTTTTTTTCTTTTCTTTTTAAAGGACTGCTGCTGTTCTAGAATGATCTGAAGAAAGGGCTTGTCTTTTCCCATAATCATTGCCTATTAATTAGGAACCCATGGAACCACTGAAGATAGATTTAACTGATCATCTACAGGTGAAGGAGGGGGAAAGGCACTATGGGATATTTTGCCGTTCTTTCAAAATAATCTCTCTCAGTTCTGGTTACAAGGTTTTACTCTAGATGTTGGGTTTTAGATATGGAAGGAAGTGAGATATCAACAGAGAAAGAATTTTAAGTTTGTAGCCCTGCATGTGTTTTCACACTATTGCTTGGTGTTTCACAACAATTAAGGTTGTGTGCTGAGCCCAGGTTTGGGATCATGACATTTTCCCACTTCCAAGCAATGTGACTTTGCTTATTTCATGTTGCTTATTTTCTCTGAGCTTCAGTTTCCTTATTTTTCAAATGGAGCTAACAATAAACCTACTTCATAAGGTTTCTTAGGATTAAATTAGGTGAGACATAGAAAAACCCTTTTCAAATTGAAAAGAACTGTACAAGTGCTAGTTCTTGTTATTATTTGCAATTTCCCCCTGAAGATTATCTCAGAAATGTCAGCCCTGATTATGGAACAAGTTAATAAAAACCTAGTTAAATAAAAAATCTTATTCTTAAGAAATTATTAGAAATTATCCAGTGCACATATTATCTCAATAATTTGTAAGTTGGCAAAATGTTCTTCGAGGAAAAGAAATGAGAAATCCAAATTAAACAGTGCTGGTCCTCTGCTTGTTTTCTTATCCATGGCTTGCTCTTCCACAGGCCCAAGCTGTCCTCAGTATCCCAGGTCATCTTCCCCAAGCTTCACAGCCTGGCAAGGCACTGCCGGGAGATTGGAGGTAGGAGGAAGGGAGAAGCCAGGGTGTTGCTTTACCTCCACAGAATTGCACGGGGAGATGTTTCCGGCAGCAGCAGCATTTTCCCCGTTGAACTGGTTCTTCATGGTTCCAGCTTCTTTCAGGTCACCCTGGCCTCTGTCAATGCCATCTTCTCCGACTGTCCCTCCAGCCTACAGGTGGAGGTAGCTTCCTGCTGTTGCTAGTCTTTTGTTGCATGTTTGTTTTCTCAGACCTTCCATCACCTGTGTGACCAATTCCCTGTCCTATATTATATCTGTTTTAAATACTTAGAATGGTTTTTGTTTTTGTGGTGGAAACTTAACTAATATACTCATGTCTTAGTTCAAGTTCTTTTAGGGGCAAGCAGCAGAAACTTTCTAGGGGCAAGCAGCAGAAACTTTCTATGGCCAGTTTATGCAAAATAATGAAAGTATTAAGATTTATTCAAAGGACTGAACAACCAAGCCTCCACCTAAGAGCAGGAACCAGACCAGCCCTGGGAACCCAAACAGTGGTAGGTTTTGGACCTTCTCTCCAGAGCATTGCTCTAATAGCCTTCAGTTTCTGTGTCTCTTTGTTCCAAATTTCAAATTCCTGAGAGAAACTGATTACCCATCTCAGAGTGACTATCTGTAACATTTATCTACAGCAGTGCTTCTTTTTAAAATTAATTTATCTATATTTTATTTTTGGCTGTGTTGGGTCTTTGTTGCGGTGCGCAGGCTTCTCATTGCGGTGGCTTCTCTTGTTGCGGAGCAGGGGCTCTAGGTGCACAGGCTTCAGTAGTTGTGGCGCACAGGCTTAGTTGCTCCGCAGCATGTGGGATCTTCCTGGACCAGGGCTCAAACCCGTGTCCTCTGCATTGGCAGGTGGATTCTTAACCACTGCGCTGCCAGGGAAGCCCTACAGGAGTGATTCTTAAAGTATGGGCCCGAGATCAGCAGCATTAATGTCACCTGAGCACTTATTAGAAATGCAAATCCTGGGGCCCCACCCACAGACCTACTGGAAAAGAAACTTTAGGGCTGGGTCCCACACTCTTGTTTTGACAAGTCCTCAAGCTTATTCTGACACTCATGAAAGTTTTTGAACCACTTGTCTATAGCAGAGATTACAATATCGTGTGGCTCAGATATGATCACTCAGGACCTATCCCTGTGTGTCTGGGAGTCTTCCCAGAGAGGAAGAAGTGCTGTGAACTTGGCAGCCACCCCTAAGAGGTGTCAGGTAAAGCTGGTAAATCTGTCAGGATCTTAATGGTAAAATTTGGTTCTTCCTGAGGGAGAAGACTTTGTAGCATTCTGAACCAACTAAATCAATTTAGTCACTGCAAAGGCATCTGGAAAAGATTCATTTCACTGTATTTAACTGAGAACACAGAAAAGCTGAAAAACCAGCATTGGGGCAGGACAAGGGAGATGGAATCTTATAGAAATCTAAGAACAGTAACAATACCGTCAGGCCACAGTAACAGGGGTTGTGAAAATAGCTCCACCCACTCAA